AAGGTTCAGTCCCTTGAACATGGCTTCTAGGAAGCGGACTGTTCACCAGCTGCAGGAGAAACAGTCACAGCAGGGGAGATGTTAAGAAACTGGTGTACGGATGGGAAACGTGGAAGGCAGGGGCACTGGGTCTTTTGCAGCAACAAGGAAGTGTCTAAAGGGGTGTTTGTGCAGAGGAGAGACGATCAATGCCTCAAAGCCTGGGAAGTTTCGGTTTTAGGAAGCATGTCCTACCTATGGGAAAGCTGGAGAAAAGTTTATAGGAGCCACAATTTTGAGGATATGCCCAGAAGCAAAATCTCAACGGATCAAGAAAATGCTCTGGAGAATGGCAGTTTTGCAGCTCAGCTTATCCATTAGAATCAAGGAGGAAACACCAGGAGGGTGGAGCCAGAGAATGAGATGCATTAGCGGTAGATTCAGGAGGCGAAAGAGAGCAAAGCAGGGGAATCTCTAGGACCAGATGAAAAGCAAAATGCTTCTGTTACACCGGTGGGTGGGTGCCGGATAGTCAACAGTTCACATTCACAGCACATAGAGATGGTGTCGGGCAGGGGGAGACAAGGTAACAATGAGGGCGCTGTGGCCTCGCTCCGGTGCCTGCATTTGTGCCTATGAGGGTCTAGGAAGAAATTCCTCTGATGTTTCAAAGGCATCTTATCCTAGAGGCGCAAAAACCATTTAAGGAGAAGACTGGCCTTAGCTAAGGAAGCTACAGGCCTGGGACATGACCACCCCCCCCCGCCCCCCCATGGCCTGCCCAGTTAGGAATTCATGATCAGACCATCCTGGGTGGTATATTTCAGTCACTGAGCTTGTCATTCCTGCCATGGGCCCCTTCCGCTTCCTCTTCCCCTTCCCCTTCCCCACAGCTTGTCAGCTTTATTACACAGTCCCGTTCGCATCCACAGGTATTTAGAAAACATGGTTCCCCCTCTGGCCTCCAGAGACAAGCACCCATTTCACCACCGGCTGTTTCGTTTCAAAAATACAGGGTGGGTAAAATACAGTTGTGAGCATGTGCAACAGAGTTTATATTCTTGTATTATTCGTTATTAATTATTGTAATACTTTCCATACGCACAACTAGAAACGTACCTTTGCCCGACCTTGTATGTGAGAGGGGTTTCCCAGCTATGGTGACATAGAAATCAGTGAGGGGACGGAGTCAGAAGAAGGTAGTTTAACTTAGTAGTGTTAAAAGATCAACGGAGGCATGTTAAGGAATTTAAGAATCTTTTTGAGCACAAATTGATTCAAATATTTGGGCCAGCTGTGGGTAGATGAGACGGGGCAGCTAGCAAAGAGAAGTGGACCTCTGATGGGGGGTGGGAGGGGGCGGCGGTGTGCAGCCGGAGCAGGTGTAACCTTCTCACGGGGACCCCCAGTGCCAGGGGAGCTCCTGGGAGGGGCTCCCTCCTCCGCAGGAGCCGGCGGGGGCCGCCAGGTGTCCGCACAGAGCCCGCGAACCGCGAGCCAGGTCAGTGCAAACAGCCCGGGGACAGGAGACCAAAGTGCACACCAAGAGCCAGTCACATAAAGAGCTCTGTGTCCTCTGTCCTCCTACCCTCGCGCCAAAAGCCGCGGGCACGGAAGGGGGAGGGGTGTCTGAGCTGGAAGGCCGCGCCCCTCCCTCTAGCCTTAAAGGTATCCATCCGGCTGTGCTGGGAGAGGGGGGGGAGGGGGAAGGGGGGACGGCTGGTGGGCTCTGACTTGAATATGAGATAGACTTTTAAATTCAAATAGTTTCACGTGTTCAGAACGGGAATGAAAGCCCTTTAATGAAGGAGAGCGACTGAAAAGTTAGGAAATCAGGCTGAGCCGACGTGCAGGGAGCCTGCCCCCTAGCGGGACGGAGCGGAATTGACAGCAGGTGAGAGCGACTCTCCCGTCCGCATCCTCACCCCACGGGGGCTATCATCGCCTCACTCTACAGCTAGAGCTGGCTCGACGTGGTCAGTGAGTCAGCCAAGGCCATGTCTACACAAAGGCAGTGCTGAGACTGAAGCCCAGATGCACCGGCCTCCGGGCCCCCGAAGATTGAAGCAAGTCTCACGGCAGCCACGCGGGGGCGCCTTCACGGTGGCTGGAAGGTTGGGGGTGGTGAGGGGGGTGGGCTCTGAGGGGTGACTCTAACGAAGGTAACCTGCCCGATGCAGGTTGTATGGTGTGAGCTGGTTGCTCTCTGGTGTAGGGAAACCTGCTAGGACTGCGGGGAGTGAGGGGAGAGAACCTTAGCTCCAGCCCTGACCAGCAGGGGAGAGAAACTCAGAGTCAAGTAGAGCGAGAGCCCAGATGTAACCTGAGCCCTTTGCCCCAGCAGGTTTGACAGCTCAAGGGTTGGTAAAAGTGTGTGATTGCGAAACGGAGAGATGGTTCCGGGCTCATGCTCTTGGCAGAAGCAGCCTGTGGGACGGGAGTGGTAGGATTGCAAACTAGCTTCCCCTTGCTTCCTCTCCCTTCCAGCTCTGCCACAGGGAACGCTCAACCCGCAGCCCTCCCAGGCGTGGGAGGACCCAGTGCTGGGGACAGACAGGCCCACAGGGCCAAGGCACTCTCAGGGAGCGTGCACCTGAACTTGCTAACACCTACCTGGCCTGCCCTGGGCTGGAAAGTTTTCCCACATCTGACATTTCCTCTTGGACTCTGGCCTCTTAAAAACACATCAAGCACGAACTGGTTTGGCTCAGTGGATGAGAGCACGGGCCTGCAGACTGAAGGTCCCCAGTTCATACCTCGGTTGCAGGCTCGATCCCTGTGCCTGACCTACAGGAGGCAACCAATCGACGTGTCTCTCTCACATCGATGTTTCTCTCTCTGTGTCTCTTCCTCTCCCACTCTCTCCAAAAATCAATGGAAAAATATCCTTGAGTGAGGATTAGCAACAACAAAACCACCAACAACAAAAAGCCACACTCAAGGATAAATGACTCCAGACTGAAGAAGGCGGACTCTAGATAATGGGCATTGTGGGAGGTTTGCGATTAGGGGAGTAGCTGTGCAACATCTCACACTGTCTCTCCCCTCTTGAGGTCTGTGACTCCACATCCCTGGCTCTTCTTTTCTCTGCTCTTCAGTGGCCTTTGCTACCTCCTCTCTCATCTACCCAACCCTTCTGAGTAAGAATGGAAAATCTAGGAGATTCTCACTAAGTAAGTGGGAGCTTCGGACTCATTTGAACCCTGTCTCTCTCTACACTCTGCATAGTGAC